TGACACTTAATTGCTCATTTGCCCATTTTCTCAAACTTGTGGCTTGCTATGTTATGCTAAACATGACCTTTCTTATAATCATCCAGAACTAGGCAGTGACATTTTTCAAGTTTAAATTTGGAATACAATTTTAAATAATATTTCCATTTTATATTTATCTTATTTTAGGAATGCAACATCTATGGCTCATGTACTGTGATTATAAATTTGCAACACTAAATTATATATTTAAAAATACAATATTGACATTAATAATTCATAATTAATTTCTTAACTGAAAGTTTGTATGTATTTGTACATATATATCATGAAAATTTTAAAATGAGCATTTGTTATGCAACTGCCAAAATAGCACAGCATCAATATGTATATTATATACATATATTTATGTCAGGTAACATAGAATTATTCAATAATTTCTAATGTGCAAGACAACTAAGCCAACGGTAAAATTTAAGTTCAAACTCAGTCTACTGCTTGATAACTAGTTAATCTTAGGAAAATATCATAAATTTTTGAGCCCCAGTTTTCTCTATTAAAAAGTAGTTGCAGTATTACCTGCAAAAATGTTTGACTTCAGTGATATGCCTTTCAAAGTTCATGTACTACAAACTTATTACTCAATATAATAAGGTTGAGAGTAGGGGCCTTTAAAGATGCTAATGTCATAAGGGCTCTTCCTTAGTTATAGGTCAAAGAAGTGGGTTTCTTATCCAAGACAGAGATACTGACAAAGAATAAATTAAGGCCCCTTCACTCCTTGTCCAGCTGCTGCTTTTTTACATGTCATAGTGCAGCAAGAGGGGCATTCGTTGAAACCCCTCAGTCATGGACTACCCGGCATCCAGCACATGAGCCAGATAAACTTCTATTACTTAGCCTATGGTTAGCAACACAAAACAGATTGTGATGACTATCTTAGAATTCTGTATGGGTCACTGAGTTAATAAGGAGAAAATTTTGATTGTTTTTCAACAGAAGGCAGATGAACAGTATATGATCTCAAAGAGTATATGATCTTATATTAGTGATGGGTGTATAGAGGCAAGTTGACTGCTCCTGGAATATTTACTGTTGCATCCCCTGCTCATGTAGCATTCTTATTTCCTGAGTGCTTAATGACAATTTGCCAAAACAATATGTTTTCTCATTGTTATGGCTTGTGTTTAGCTAGCCCCTGAAAGTCTCAAGTGGTCATAAGTGGAGGTTTTTCAGAAGCAGCTGGATCTACAATGTGATTGATTCATGGTACAATGCTGGGAGTAGGGTGTATGATTACTAAACCAGTCCAGTGATTGGTTTGACATCACCCTAATCTTGGTAGCCCAGATAGACTACAAAAGGGGCAGATAAATGCTCCTAAAGTCCCTTGCTGCTTTGCTACATTCTGTCTGCAATGCACTGTTCTCCTCTGTCAAGCCACTCTGCCTTGGAGCCAGCTGATTATGGGCTGAAACCTCTACAAATTGTGAGCTAAATAAACCTTTCCTTCCTTTACTTTGGGTGCCAGGTATTTTGTCTCAGCAATCAGAAAAGTAATTAAGACATTCATTTATTAAGAATATTTCTTGTTACTATTTACTGGTACATGGCAGTGTTTGGCATTAAATAAAATATATTTCTATTTTTATTTTCTTATTAACACAGCTGAGCATCTTGTCTATGCTTTTTTGTAACCGAAGTGCTTCTTGTTATCCTTTACTATTTTAAAAATAAAACTATGAAAGTCATTTATATTTTGCAGAAATGTGCAGAACCTACATGTGCAACATGATTTTTCACTAAGTGTGAATTCTATGATCACCATTCAAACAAAGAAATGAAATATTATTAGCAGCTCAGAATATTATGTTCCTGCTACCTGAAGTATTTACTTCTTTTTCCTCACAGATGACCAGTAATAATTTTGTACCCTTTGAAATTCATATATTATATATTAATTTGGATCTAAATTATTTCATTTATTCATCTATTTGAGATTAAATCACATGAATTATAGAAAGATTAATTTACTCTATAAAATATTGCAACATACTATTCCATAATTTATCAAGTTTAAACCTGTCTGCAATTAATATTGTGTATAAACTTAGAGCTCCTATTAATTTTCTTGCATATATCTTTCAGTGTTATATATGTGAATAGATTGTCAAATATATATTAAGAACAACATTGCCATGCCATTGGGTTTGATTATGCTTGGATTTATTTAATATTGCCACACAGTTCTCCAAATAAATTTTACAAATTCTATTTGTCTACTGATGCATTTATTTTATCTGTATTAGTGAGTACTAATTTATCTCAGTTCTTTGAGTGCATAATTTTTATGTCCCTTTATTACCATGGAGAATTCCACTATTAATTTAATTTGCTTTACAAGCAATCCATTTTTTCCCTATCTTTGAACTACGTTTTGATGTACTATAAGATTTCTGGTAGTTTTGTAAGATTATTACACCTGAGGACCTGTATTTTCCATTAGTAAGATTCAGCTGTTATCTTTATAAAAATGGCTTCTCTTCTATAGACCTCTATCATTCCAGGGTTAGAACTTCTATTATGTATAAAGGATTTTCTCATTCTTTTCCAGGTGCCTCTTCCCCTTTTATTGTATTACATCTATTTTTCTTTATATTTAAGTATTTAGTGACCTTTTTACTCTAAGTTCTGTATTTCTCATTTTTTTTTTGATTATGTCTTTTTCTGTTTAACTTTATATTACAATTTCAGAAATGTTGCTTTATTAATTCATAATTTTTTTCTTGAATTTAGTTTTACACCTTCCTGGATATTTAATAGTTTTTTAAAAAAATTCAATTGCATCCTGTTCATTTTATCATATTAAATATCTTTTTACATAATCTTTATCTGAGATGATTACTCCCTTTTGACATGAATAATTGCGCTAGAAGCAATTGCTTAACCTCATTAGTGTTTGTGCAGACTGAGACTGGAAGTTCCTCAGAGCTTTATTTTTGCAAATACAGTGGAGATGTTTTTACATTTATTTCCATCAGATGTGCAAGAGAAACAGAATTCTTAATTACTTGCTTATGTTATAGGTTTAAATACTACTGGGGAACTAAACCTGAGTAGGAATATTTATAAATGTTTGTTTAGAAAGTATGCTTTTCCTTTTTTAGCACCCAGGCTAAAATCTAGAAGTTTCTTCAACTTCCATCCCTAATGATTAGTTCATTTTCAGTTTAGACTTTCACCAAACATGTCGCTACTCATATATTCAGACTTCACGTGAGAGTCTCCATTACAACTTCCTGTTAAATTTTCTACATGTCTTTTTCATTGCATAAACCTTTTTTCCCAAGTCCTTTAAGTTTTAGTGACCGGCAAGTGTCCCCAAAATCTTAGTATTTTAACAGCTATCACGTTTAGATTTTCTCTTTTACTAGTCCCTCCTTGGAGATTTGTTACTTCCTTCCAAGTTTGACTATGAAGTGTAAAACAAATAAATTTTATGTAAACTTTTAATTTTCTGTAGTAAGGGCTTTTCTGGCTTTGAGCTCATAACATTTATTTCTAAAACTCTTTAGGAATCAGATTGTTCCTGATTTCCCTTGGTAGATTGAGGTCACAAATATACTGCCATGTAAATATTACCCAATAAGTATGAAATGTTTTCTGGTTGACAGAACTAATAAAACAGCCCCATTTACTGGGAGAAACAAGCAGATCAGTAGTGTCAAAGCATAGGATGAAAGCTGAGATCATCAGAAGCTAAATATGAAGAAGAAAGTACCAATCAGGTGGAAATAATGCTTCCATATAATTATAGGGAACTCTATTTTAAATAAAAAGAATATTGAAGGGTTTAAGTTTTGCTGATAGGAATGGCAGTCCCTGAAAAAGGGGTATACCTAAGTTCTCCAGAGAACACTAAGTCTTCAACTGATTGGAGAGGTCACTCACATTACAAAGGGCAAGATAATTCACTTAATGTGTCAATTTAGTTGTTAATCTAATTTGATAAAAAATAAACCCACACGGAAATACCAAGAACAATGTTTGACCAAGGATCTGAACACCCTCTGGCCACTTAAACTGACACTCATAGTTAACCATCATAATGCTCATCTATGATAATTTATCTGATGCTCTTATGGGTTGCTATTTCTGCCATAGCCTTTGACATGTTGCTCATATTTATTGTTTGTTTTTTTTTTGTAAATTCCTTGTCTAGTATTCTTCTTGTATTTTAGCTTAACTCATAATACTATTTTGAAAGATGGACCTTGTGAAATTACCTGACTTAGGAACTAAGTCAAAATATCAGGTTTTATATTAATCTAACTAAGAATCAGGCTGTATTTAAGGTTTGTGTTTTTAGGTAGTCATCTCTCTTCCTATGATCCTACAGCCCCTGTAGTGTGTATTTCCTCTAGTGTCCTGGTTTTCTTCTCTGTGTTTGTCTGTGGTATTCTTTAACTACTTTCCCTAAATACAGCCTGTAGCATACCACTCTTTCAGGTTTATCCACTGTTACTGTACTGTTTGGCAGGGAAGTATGTGGGAGGAAAAAGTGATCTATAATCATAATTATCTTTGTGTATTTTAGTGGGAGATTCTACCTAGGCTGTGATTTGCATAAAATTTTATTGACTTTTTCCGTCTATCATGTGAGACAGGAAGGCTAGAAGTTTCAGATTAGGTAACTGACTTTATCTCTAGCTGAGATAAAGACATATGCCCTGAAGAATAATAATTTGTTAAATTTTAATTAGAATGTCCACTCCCGATAAATATAAATTAAGGTCCACAATATAGAGCATCCACAACTTTCCGTGTTTAATCTAACATTCCTCCAGTTTTACCCATTTTATTTAATGGCACTCCCCTCAAACATTTATATTACTTAAAAAATGGAATCTAGCTGTAGCATACTTGTGCTAGTTTAGTCAGTGAAATACATTATTTTAAAAGCAATTCTCACTGTATTCATTACTACATTCTACATTCTTCTGTTTAAAGTTGTTAATCACCTTTACATCACTGGGACAAAATAGCTGAGAAATCAGGTTAGGAAGATTTTATTTTCTCACTCCTGGCTTAAGAAGTTTCAGTCTATGATCACTTGGTCCTCTTCCTTTGGGTCTGTGGAGGCATAGCATATCCTAGAGGGAACACATGGCAGAAGATGGTTGTTCACACCTTGGCAACTGAGAAACAAAGACAGACAGACAAAGTCTGGGATCTCAGTTTTCCCATCAAATACATGACTGCACGAATGCAACTTTCTCACCTACTGAAAGTCTCACTGATACCAAATAAGGCCACAGGGTGGTGACCCCTTTGGAGGGTATGCAAGACTCAGACTATAACACTAAACAATGACCATTTTAAATTTTGATACTTCAAATGCCAAGGATACAGGGTTTATGAAGACTATCTGATATCACAGGAAGTACAAAAGTAGATTATACCAGCAATATTGAGGTTCGGAACACTACACCATGTTTTGTCTTCTGTTTAATGTCGCAGTGTTCATTGTCACATATATTTATTTGTAGTTTTACTATTTCACCATCAAACTACTTGGAAAGGTAAAAGGTTTACTATTAGCATAAAAAGGAAAGGAACAACCCTCACGATCATATGCTCTTTATTGATTCTTATTTTCCATCACTTAAAATAATAGTGTATATAGCTGAAAGTTTCTGAGTATGTGTTAGCTATGTGCCTTGAACTGTTCTAGGCACTTTACATTATTAACTCAATTAATCCTCCTAAAATAATGTGATAGCAGATTATTAATAGAACCATCTCAGGGGCTGGGGATTTAGCTCAGCGGCAAAGCGTCTTCCTGGCAAGCGCAAGGTCGTGAGTTCGGTTCCTGGTACCAGAGAAAAGCCAAAAAAAAAAAAAAAAAAAGAACCATCTCAATGTTAAATATGATTAAAAGATATAATATCTTTTGATGGGTTACAAAAAGTGGGAGGAATTACAAACAAGACTTGCTTTCTTTATCCCCAGGTACTTAAAAACTCTAGTTTGAAGGAGTTAGCAATTTAATAAAAAAGAGTTATAATTAAAGTTAAAGAAGTGTAAATAAATATTTTACATCCGGGTAGGCAGAAAATGAAAGCTAATCGGTGTAAGCATCATTTTCTTAGGAACTCAAGCCCTAAAAGTGCACTCAATTCATGCTCCGCTAACCAGCATCAAATGCTCACTTTCACTGTACAACATGAAAACCATCAGCCAAGCTTGTAAAATGAGGATGACATGTTCAAAAACTTTGGGACTAAACAATGAGGGGCTTTCACATTTGAGACTGAGCCTTCAAAAGCCTACATGTACATAAATAAAATCATTGTATATATGTACTGTACATATAGCAGTACAATGTGGCTTCTTTGTATTGCTCCACATTATTTTTTAAATATTACCTGTGCTTTACTTTATTTACCCAGCAAGATAAAAAGAATGTTGAAAATGGTACTTCTCAAGTAGACAACTATCAAATTTGAATACTTAAAATGACATTCATACGGTAGAGAAAGTAATATACTGCTGGCTTCAAGTCTTTGCAATTGTGTTGGGATTTGAGGAGTCTGTGTAACACCACCCACTATCTTGTGTCATTTTCAGTGTTCAGAGACCAGGAGGAATGTTTCTTCCATCTCAGTTTTCATTCATCTAGTATTCTTTTTGCATAATGGCTCACATCAAAATCCTCCAAGGAAAAACAATCTGTCAGGATGTTTTTCCTTCCCCTCCTAGAATACTGAATACAAAACATGAGTTCATAGATTGAATCTGAATAGTTAAGCCTGAGAGCAATTTAAGAAAAATAAATGTTTCTGTTTTACAAGTAGGGGCTAGAAAATAGAAAGGGGTGAGAAGTCAGCAGTATATTTAAGCAGTCATACATGAAGTTAGGTGTTGAGCCATGCTGCAACTGTATTCATTTTTTACAAAGAATACTGACTATTTTTAGCAGGTCTGGAAGGTACCAGGAAATACATTGAGACATAACTTTAAGTATCTCCATGTTGTACCACAGATAAGAGAGACACATAGGAACATTTTAAGTGTTTACTTTAGTAAATTCTCAATTCCATTCAGATTTTATGTTGTTCTAAAATAGGGTTTCTACATTCTCAAGTAACCTAAATGAAGAAAATTAAATAAAGATCATTAACTGCAAAAATTTCACAGATATGATAAAACAATTCAGTCCTTTGAGGGTATGAAAATATAATATGACTAATGACTTTAAATTGTATCTGTGGGGCCGGGGATACAGCTCAGTGGCACAGTGCCCACCTGGCAAGTGCAAAGTCCTGAGTCTGACTCCTGGTACCAAAAAACTAAATTGTATCTTCACAGCTATAAACCATGAATGTAAATTCAGTTTGCTTAGTTGAAAACAATTTTTCTTCTAGAAAAAGGGAACTATGAACAAAGAATCTAACATGTGCCTTCTGGGGTCTGCTACCAAAACTTGAGAATTAATGAATGACGACTCTGTCTCTGGAAAAGTGTTCATGATTTTTTGGCATTTATTGCAGACTAATATACGTGATAAGCCTTCACTCAATAAGATATTCTTTTCCATGAAAGCAACACAAGTACCTATGTTGCTCACCTCTGAGTCACCCTCGCCCCAGCAATGTAACATTATCCCTTTTCTCCTTGACCAAATGTTCATCAAATGAAGGTGTGGTTAAATCCACAGAGGCTGGCACTTGAGTCTGGAAGATGGAAACTCTTGTAAGGATTTGGGATCCTTATAACTTTTTGTGGTCTCTTTTGGCTCAAAACCACTAGTTTCACTACAGTACACTCCCACTAACACTGGAAGAGGATTCCTTTATCCCCACAGTCCCTCCAGCACTTGTTATTAATTGATTTCTTGAGAATAGCCATTCTCTCTGGGATGAGATGGAATTTCTGCATGGTATAATTTGCATCTCTCAAATGATCAGTGTTCCTGAACAGTTTTTCATGTATTTATTTGCCATTTGTACTTATTTTTCTGAGACGTGTCTATTCATCTCAAATATCCACTTTTGAATTGAATCTTTAAATTTGGGAAGGTCTGATTTGTTTCAGTGCATCATACATTCTGTACATGGGTCCTTTGTCTGAAGAAAAACTGGCTAAGATTTTTTCCCTCTCTTTGGGTTGTCTTTTTATTCTGTCAGTGATTTCTTTTTCTGCACAAATCTTTTTAATGGATCATAGTTGTTAAGTCTTTGTAATATTTCCCATGGCATCAGGGTTTTATTTATGAAGTCTTTGCCTATATCTAGGTCTTTTAAGACTTCTACCTATTCTCTTTTCCAGCAGATTTTAATGTTTCTATTTTAATATTTAGATCTTTGATCCATTTTCACTTTACTTTAGTGCGTGGTACAACCACTGTGGAAATCAGTGTGGAAATTACTCTAAAACAAGGGCTAAAATGTCCCATTTTACCCAGCTATTCCCCTTTCTGTTATCTTCCCAAAATAATTATAAGCCTCATACTACAGTGATGTTGATAGCAGCACAGTTTGTATAGCTAAATATTGGAAACAATATAAATGCCCATCAAGTTATTAATGTATAAAAAAAATATGGATATTTTATGCAATGGAGTACTACTCAGCTAAAGAAGGATAAATTTGAGATATTTGTAGGATGTCTCAAATCCTATAAATCCTGTCTCAGATCCTATAAATCCTGTCTCAGATCCTGTCATAAATCAATAGACCTTGAAATAATACTCAAGTGAAATAAGTCAGAAATGCATATAAATATCACATTGTCCCTCTGGTGTGAGAAACTGGAAGGATAAATGAGAACCAACATATATTACAGATACTGTGAAATAGGAACAGACCGTTCACAAGGAAAGAGGAACTGAAGGGAGAGAAGAAAGGGGGAAAATGAGAAAAAAAGGATAAAATGGAAATAGCTTTTTAAATAAAGTGAAGAAGAGGGGTTGAAGGTAGGAGATGGGAATGGGAGAAAAAGAGGAGGTAAGATATATCATGTACAGGGTGCAAGTTCCCCACAATGAAGGTGATCATTATGTATATCTGAATTGTACTAATAAACTTAAATTTTAAAAAGAAAACACTACTTAGAAAAATTGTAGTAGAATGTATACTTTTCCTATTATAATTATACATGAAAACCCAGAATCACTTAAATTGAGGTAGAATATATTCCTTCTTTATTGTATTTCACTTTCTTTACTAAGGCTTGTTTACTAGTGTTCTAATAAGATAATGGATTTGGTTGACTCTAAGGATGACAATAAAAGTAAGAGCAGTTTTGTGAAAGAGACACAGAGAAAAGAAAGACAAAAAGAAAGGAAAGGAAAGGAAAGGAAAGGAAAGGAAAGGAAAGGAAAGGAAAGGAAAGGGAAGGGAAGG